ATTACGCGTGTATCACCATGTTAAATTTTTGTGTATAATCATGTAGTGGTTGGAGTTCTATCACATATAATTATTTAAACATTAATATGTTTTAGGCTTGGTACAACTTTTTTATTCCAACTGAATTTTGCGAGGCCGATATTCGTAATCCTTTATTAATTATTGCGATGAAACAAAAATCAACAATAAAAAAAATGTAATTAAATTCCTAACAAAATGCAATTTTTGATCGCAGTGTTGGTACCCAAAAACATAATATCTATGATTTATTGATTTCTCAAATATGACTCAACATCTAGTATTTGTGATAATCATACGTTGATTTATATAGCTAGTCAATTAGCTAAAGTATAGCCTCATTTCATCACTTTCTTCGTGTATTGCATACCTACAGGTTATCGGTTAAGTAAAATATTTAAATATATTATATTGAGAGTCTAGTTTATTTAACATACGAATTCTCTTGTTTTCCACCGTTTTATAGTTACTAACTTACTTTACTWACTGCAAATTGCAACGTAAATTAAGTGATGGTGAAGACGCCGGCTAATTATTGAAAGGAAATTATTTTCGACATTTATCGTATCTAAAATATGTACAAATTATGTATTGAGTATTTGAGTGTATAGTATCTATTAATTTATACTAAAGATAGTGGCGAACGAATATGCGTTTAACTATACGAYGCTAGAAATAGAAGTTTATAATATACTAAAGTTATTACTATGTTATTCAATAATTTATAGATATTATTTTAATAAGGTTAATATAACAATTATTTTTGCTTAGAATGCGTGATTCCTAATAATTGTAGTATTAACTATTATCGATTGGAAACAATGACACACAAAATTCTATTGTAGGAGGAGTTATACAAAAAAGCTGCATAATAAAAAAAGAGTAACTGTTTCATTTTATTTTATTTTTTTGTTTTAGCATTATAAGTAATCTGATGATAATACTGAAGCCTGAAGATTGAAAAATGTCGTCCATGTTGACTACTTAAATATGAAAATATCCGATTTCAAAAGCATATTTGAAAAGGGCAGCGGTTACCTTATTSCGTATATGTTCTTTTTATTATGTATCAGGATTTTAGCAAAGTTGAAAAGGTACTATAAACACACGCTCTAGTTTCCTGATATGAATCTTTTTCAAACCATATGATTTCCTACTGAAAAACAATCAACCGTTTTATTACTACCATCACAATAGCTAATAAAAATATCACTATAATGATATTGATATAGTTATTTAACATTAATACGCATTATCAAAGTATATATTTTAAACAATGTTGATGCTGTACATTTTAATTTGAAAATGAAAAATGCTTCTAGTATAGATATAACTACTTTATAATATACTTCGGCTGTGTACAATATTCCATAAGTCTATTTTTAATACTGCAAGAAAATTATTTGTTTTTTTTTTTTAATAACATTTTACTACCTATTTGTTATGTATTTAAGATGTATGTTTATTTTATATTTTGTTAACAATTCTGTTTGGTTTTTTGGATAGCATCATTAATTATTAAGTATTGTCCATAAATGGATAAATGTGTATGTCATCAAGTATCTATATATTATCAATATTACAATTAACTGGCAAAAAAACTACCATAATAAATATTAGATTATTTCTACTAACGTTAATTATTATTTATTAATTGTTGAGCTATTATATAATTTTTAGCTATAAAAAATCAACGTAAAAAAAACTATTCGTTCATTTTTTTTTTTTTATTGTATATCATCATATCAACTATTTGATAATTGTTTTAATTATTTCTGGTAAACTATATTTTTTTTTTGTAAGACGCATGATTACAATTATTTCATAAAAATATGGCTGTGCGGGGAGCAGTGGATGATTCCGTGTGGCCATCCAGACAAGTAAACAACCTATGTACTTTTATGTGTATTGTGTATATTTATAATAGTGTACAGAAATTACGGCGTATAATATGAACAACGTGCATATTATAATAGTATACAGCCACTCTCTCTGGACAGTCTTATAGCTGTAGGATCTCGCAAGCCAACACGATGGTCATCACTTGCTATAGCAAGCGAATCAGCGACTTGACTCGTTTGGACATGAAAATATATAGATGCGGTGAGTGCCCTAAAATTTATATAATCACTTTGCCATTAAGTACCACTCCCCTAACTAAGTGCTTATTATTATTTATTATTTTATATTGTTTCATTAATCAATTATTATTGTTTTACATCATAAGACTACTTTGAGTCACACTTTTTGTTACATTTCTGTTTTTTTTTCTAAATTCTAATATCAGTAATATCTACGTTTCTTTTTTACATTTTTTGCTAATGTGTAATTTTGAGTTAAAAAAATAAAATACAGYGACACCTCCAAATAACGGACTGAATTTCCCTTCTTAATAGTAGACGACCCTTATGCGACCGAATGTGTCCGGTATYTAGAGGTTTCACTGTATACAAATACATACATTTTGTTTGATCCACTTTCGTTACATAATAATCGTAATTCAAATTTTCTACATAAAAATAAGCATTAACGATCATAATAATTGTATTCTTTATTTATTTCAACAGAACAATAATGAATTGGCCCCACTGAACTCGCTCAATTATATATGGCTCATATGGGGCCAATGAAGTGACGGCTTAAATTAAGTTTAATTTTCAATTTTTTTCACTAARCGAAAAWTTATTTATCTACAATAATTGAAAAAAATGTAGAAAATTTGCCGCAGCTCAAAATAAAATATCTAGACATTTTATCTCACGTATGCGAAATTGTTTTACAAGTATTTGGTGAAAATTTAAAGTATCTACGGCCAATTTATTTTCAGTATTTTTTATTTGACGTTTGAACACCTCATGAAGCACCTTGTATTATATTTACAAGCTATTAGAATATTAAAAAAAAAAAAAATTGTTTAACGTCAATCGATTAAAAACTTCAATAATACTCCGGAACAGAAAAAAACTCGATCCTAAAAAGTTATGACYACACGGCGTTATAGCTAGACTATTTCACTACACCACTGTCGTATGTTCATTTATTCGGTATAATATTCAATATTGTGATATTATCGCCTTATAATATAGGTTAATACATACGATTTTCAACTAACGTTGTATCGGTATTTTAACGTTGACTTTTGATGTTATTACAATATTTATATCTGCGTACACAAACTAGCACATTGCATAACATGTATCTAGTATCAGTAGTATCTACCTATATATAGGTAAGTACCTAGTATCTGCCTTCAATGTAAATAAAATACAAATAATACACGATAAATCAAATTGTGATAATAAATGATTCAATCAATTTTATTTGTGTAATATTTTGTATGATTTATGTTTATCTCATATTGTATTAAATTCTCACCCAATTTAAATATTACGCAATACAAAATTATCAAAACAATATTATTGTCTGTCAATACTCGACAACCTAATTTCCTAGCCATAGTAGTAAATGTGTTAACAAAATATTTGATTTTCACATCATTGCTTTTACGATCAAGGCCGGCTCTAGCTTTTTCAGCGCCCAGTGCAAGTATTATTTCGGCGTCTTTCCCCCTTTTTTTAAACATTATAACACACAGGCAACCGTGCGCCCCTGTGCCCTGCTCGCACAATATTTCAATCTCTCAAATCAAAATCCAGCCCTGTTTATGATGTCAATAATTAAGAAATAAGAGGACGCTTCACACAYATTTGCCGTGTCCGTCTTACAAGTGCGTAACGTAGAAAATGTACGMTCAGCAGGTGAGGGTTTTTTTTACGGTAGTTCAATTTTATAGCAAGTTATGCGTATATAAAAAASCGTGAATTAAAAACCGCCATAACTCACGTAAAAACTAAGTTATCTTAAAAAACCCGCATACAAACACAGATAATATTCTTACAATCAAGTTTCATAATAGGTCGATTCACTCCAATTTTTAAACTAATGGAGCTAAACGTGATCTGCACTTGTAAGACGGAGACAACAAATATGTGTGAATTGTCCTCTTATGCCTAAACATTAACGATATATATATAAAAAAATATTCCGTGAAAATTAATTTTATAATATTATTTCATATGATATCGCGTAAATAAATTTAAAATTACATAGATTTAAAAAAATGATGTACCTGTAATGTATGTATTTATGTGTAATATTGAATAACAATTAACTATATAATAATATATTATTTTCTACTTGTTAAAAATCTTTACTGATGTCGAGTGATGACTGTCCAGTGCAGCCATAGAATAATAATTTTCGCGTGTCTACCTTGGCGCCTCAGTCTTATCTGTGAGACGAGTGATAACATACTGTTATCAGCTCGACGACGACGGTCAGTGCTGCAATCGAGCTTACAAAATATTTTCAATACCTACCTTTTTTTGCCATTTYATCATTTATTTATATCTTCGGCTGTTACTTGTTAGTACTTAATTGTTATAATTTTAATTTGTGTAGGTCGTAGGTGCGAATAGCAGTGTAGCGCACTAACTCCCGATATTTAAACCGAATATTGGAATTCTGGGTCCGACCACCCGTGCCGGTTTATTATTATTTTCCTCGACGGCGTGAACGTGAAAATGAGTAAGGTGTATAAAGAAGACGAGATCAGCGTCCGAGTGGATCGGTGCCTGTACGATTCGGTGATCAAATTCGGTAAGTAATACGATAGATCGACCTCTGAGAAAATCATTTGGATATCGTAATAGCGTAGCCGGTACCACATTCCCTATCGTTGCAACCTTGCAACAGTGTTAGTAAGTTCTTGAATAATTGATTGAACAACAATTCATTWAGTCGTATTYCAAATCGACTCGTTTTAAACAGAATATTTAATCTAGAAGATCTATCTGTTTACAACAAMTTTTTAAGAAATAACTCTTWGTACTAGCTACTCTCGAGCAWTTGACATTTCAAGCCCTGCTGAAAATAGTGAAAAAAATAGTATATACATCATACAGCTTATGCAATTTTTTGGCTGGTGCAATTTAATCGGGTAAATACCGGTCACCATGCCACTCTGCTCGTGAGATATTATTCAAAAACCAATTCGAATTTTATCACAAGCATTTTATTTGTCTAAACTAAAACTAAAGGTAGTGAGTTATTGAATTATTGGTCTTCTCTAATCACCAATTTCATCTTTATAGCTTATGTATTATAGTTATTAATCAATTAATCTACTATCAAGGCTTATTGTAATGACGCCCTTCTCCAATAAAATAGTTCAAACAACCCTTATGGTATGTGACATTGTAGCACAGGCTATAAAAGTCTTTCTGAAAGGATTGATGTTCCTAAAGTAGATGGATATTTTTGAATAATAATGGTTTATCATTCTAGGTGGCGGTTTGAGTGTAGGTGCTGTCGCATCCCTGTTGTTCTTCAAACGTAAGTTCAATGTGAAATTTTTAATAAAATAACTTTTATAGATGTTCTATAAAACAAGTAATATTAATGACTCATTAGAGCTTAGAAGTAAAGAATTTTAATCTTTTTTTAACCAGTCATTAATATTTGGAATTTATTATACTGTTAGTCATAACTTCTTATGTTCAKCTACAGTGACACTACATAATATAAATTATTTAATTTTGTTCATAACTGCCGTATTGAAAAAAATATAGGTAGATACTCTGTCCCACTAAAGAAAGGTACTGTGTCTTGATGATAACCAATCAGAAATACACATCTCCCACACCTTACATCGCTACTACTTAGTACACACTAGTGACCTGCTGCCTAAAAAATATTAGATGGTTTGCTAATGATGTGAAGCTCAGTCGCCATTCGGCATGTTTAGAATGGTACCTTTCTTTTATATGACAGAATGTACATACTTATAAACATTATGATCAAAAGAACTATTTTGAATAATTTAATTATTGATTATTAATTTTTGTTATCTAGGCAAGAAGTGGCCAATCATCATGGGTTCTGGTTTTGGATTGGGTTTAGCATATGAGAATTGCGAAAAAGACTTAAAGGAATATTTTACGAATACATAATATCCTGTATGTTATTAGAGCTTAGGCAATAATACAATAGCCTTAGACTCTAGAGTCTAAGGCTATTGTATTATTGCCTAAGCTCTAATAACATACATAATATCCTGTATGTTATTAGAGCTTAGGCAATAATACAATAGCCTTAGACTCTAGAGTCAAACAATGTGTTGTCCATACAGTTTATTTTCTTTTATGTTAATTGTATTACTGTAAGTAGTATTTTTTGTTTTGATTTTTTAATTAAAAAATAAATAAATAATTACAATGTTGGATCCAAAAGTTTTCATTTATTTGTAAAAGTCAAAATTTAAAATATTTTACTTGTATAATATAAGATGATATATTAATACATAAAGTATAACTTGATAAAAAAATATCAAAAGACTTGTGGCAAACAGTGAACCATTTTCAAATGTAATTTTAAATGATTAATGTCATTGGTAAAGAATTCACATTTATTACATTGAAGTGGTTGATGCAAAAATTTCTTGTTGGGCGGCAATATTATTTGTCCTAAAGTTTGTAATTCAGAAATTATTTCTGAAAGCAAATAACAAATTATTAATTCAACAAAAATCTTAATCATACATAATACATAGCATGGTCTACCAACAAGTTATTCTTAAGAAGAATATTGGTTTATTGTATTAATAAAATTTATTATAGTTATTAATTTATTATACTAATATCAGTAAATGTTGATCTCATGTGTAATCCTAAACACACATTACGCTTTAAATACAAAAGGGATTATTTATCAACAAGAATAAAACTACAATTTTCAGATGGAGAAATAATAAAAGAAGAATATTACTATTCTACAGGTAATAAATAAAATTATATACCTAAAAGTTATGAATGTCTATTTATAGGGTGTTACCATTAGGTTTCCTCCCTATTCTAATTATTCATGTTAATTGTWCTTGTMAATTTATTATCAAACCTACTCATTACACAAACAATGTATAGATTGTATATTACTTCAATAATAAAAAAAAAAAAATGTTGTGAAAAAGGATTGCAATCTTTAGTAAAGTACATAACATTCTAAACTCAACATTGGTATTTATTAATACCAAAACACCAATTTAAATGAAAAATCTTTAAATAAATTATATTTTATTACTTGATAATAGATGTTATTAATGTTGACACTTGAATTGGTTTGAGAAAAGCATAATTTAATTAATGTTAAGTATCTACAAAGTGATATGTAACATTTGGGGCTTAAAGCCCATAATTACCCTTAATATAAWATGAATTCCCAGGTATACTAGGCTTTAAATTGTTAATGTTTTATTTATACTTACTATGAGTAGGTATAAAGAAATCCGTATTAAATGAATTCCACTGGTGGGGTWGCCTCATATGGGAACCACAAAAGTCTTTACTCAACACATGCAAATGCAATCGGTTCATTGATGTAAAAGTGTGGTATCCAACTCTGTAAAAATTATAATAAAACCATTATCATAGATCATCTTTATAGGAATAACATACAATTGGCTGAAATCCAATGAAGTGAAAAAATGTTTATATTATTATTTTAAGAATTAAGGGTATTGAAATGTATACCTAACCTATATGTATTGTGATATTGACATGAAACATTATAGGATAATTCTCCCGGAAAAGATCAAAACATATACTATATATACAAATATATACAAATAAAGTATTAAAAAAACTGTTATATTTTATTATTCATGAAAATAATATTATTTTGTTTACCTAAACTATGATTGTAAAAGGAACAAGTTTCTCAAATTTTCTTTCAGTATCATTTTCCAGGCCTAATTGTACGATTGTTTTAATTATTCATGTTCAAACAGCCAACAAAGAGGTTATCGACTTGAATATCACGTTTAAGTATCATTTGATTTTTCACTTACATTTAGTAAAAGTTGTGTGATAACTAATTAGGCAGTTAAAATAGTTGGTTTTTTTGGAAAAACATGAATGGATTGTAATGCAGTTTCAAAATCTTAATTAAAAATGTTTAATTTTTTCAAATTAATATTCAACATTTAACAGCCAAATGCAGATAGGTAATGTATTCTTTTTCCAATGTACCTAAATTAGACAATAATACAAATTTCATATACTATAGTGAAATTGATTARATAATGTTTAAACCATATTAATGATACCCAAGTTAAATATTTAACTAAGTTAAGCTTATACTGTAGGCAAGCAATAAGCATTTCATAGAAATAACCATCATTTGTTTTTACCGTTAGTAAATAATAAAGGATATCAGCAGTTCCTACTGTTCCTAGCAAATAAAATWAAATTAAAAAATCTAATTCATCATTGTTATATAGAACACTATAGTTCGTACGTATGACAACTCACAGTAAATCTTGCGCTAACAGTCCAGTTGAATGCATTACATACTCAAGGCCTTTGAGCTCCATATAGATGAGCTTGGGTATATGGTGAYCCTTGAGCGAGCGGACATCCAACAAATCTTCCTTGGGCATAACTAGATAGTGATGTTCGGACTTAGGGTACTGGTCAGCAATAATCACCACAATTTCGTCAGAATAAAGAATGTTAGACGGGTCGTTCATTGCCAGAATCAAGTTGTTCCGCGCTTCATTGGTCATRATARTAACGAAGAATTCAAAACAAAAATGCTAACCGAACGGATATTAGAAATCGGCGTGAACGACATCCAACGCGGCACGTGGTGAACGACACGATTTACTTTTAAGGGAACGGCTCACTGATGGTTTTTTAAGGCTTGTCGTTATTGTAGTCACAATTATGAACGGAAAGGACTCCGTGAAAGGGATATTATCGTCATGTAAGTATAGTACTAGTGTACTAAATACTAATACTTGAAGTACTCCATAAATGTAATATAATATTYAAATACCTACCATTTTAGTTCACGCCGTTCACGATTGTAACGGTGTCAGAATCGATCGAGTGTCATAAACGAAAACATGTAACGGTTACCGTGAACACGGTAATAATAACGTTATCGCCCAACGAGTTWGACTTGATAAAGTGATAACATATTTTGTTCTGCGTAGATTGTCTGATTGTGTTCGGGGGACTGGGCGACTGTTATAGTCTACGATATTATACTTACTATAGTCTGCATTCTATTGCTAGACGTCCTTCGTCWGTTCTCCATCAGACTACTGGACCTTTGGTCGCGCCATTACTGATTGCATTACCGATACGATTTACCAAACGGGCGCTTATAAATATTTCCCAAATATAACCGCCTCCAGTATTGCTTACAATCTTGCGCCACCAGGCTTGACTCGTCTGTGCAGCTATCTCTCGTCTGTAGCGTATTTCACCGGACTATGGCGTATAGCCGTCGGATGATTTAGCTTAAGCTCGAACATACACTCTCGCGTACCCACCTCTTTAGGTGCCAAACAGTTGGATAGACGGTACCTCAGATACCCTTTGTGAACCTAACTGCACCATGGCCGACAAGTGAGTAACCAGCAGTGGTAGCAGTTTTGTATTGTATTAACGTTTATATCTCTGTTTCTCATTATCAGCAGACGACAATTTAAGATCTCTGATACAAAATTTGGACCATTGCTCTGAAGAACATAATAAATAAATTTGCATTTAAAACTATGTTTTTAATGTGCACTGAGGGAGCCCTTTCAACTATACTACATTATAATTGTAAATTAATGTGAAAGTARAGKTTGAAAATTTATAGAAGGAATGTCATTCCTTTTGGATCAAATTGTATATGATAATTATTTATGAAWGAACCTTAAGAATACTAACCTAAAGTTTTAGCCTAATAATAACTAGCCTTTGGATGAGTAATTTGAATTTAAACTTATTTTTCTGATTATTATTTTCAACCTTATTTTGTAATTTCCWAGGTATATGTTTTAGGAATAACTTTATTATTTTWAATGAACCAAATATAAATGTCAAGTAATATATATTTGTTATAACTACATCTAATATTTACTATGTATTTTGAATCACATACTATTGTTTGGAAATATATTTAAACTTTTGCTATTATTGATTACAGACAACCTGAAGATGTTGAAAAAGTCATTGAAGAAGCCGTAGTAAATCCAGATTCAAAAGGAAATGAAGGTGGTGGGTGGTGGGATTCATTGTACTCTGCAGCCAAGTCTAAAGTATTATTATTTTTCTACTACTTCTTAATAATTCCATCTAAGTATATTTTAATTTTAAAATAAACCAATTTTAGTCAGCTGAAGTGTTGGAATCAGTTAAACGTGATCTCGGYGAACTAACAACAATAGTCACCACTGAAACCAGCAATATTGTCTTAAATACTACCAATGTTGTTAAAGATACTTTACAAGTATGCACATTTATCATATGTATAATATATTATTTTTTTTTATTTATCTTGAAATTATTAATTCTGCTTCGACATCTGAGGCCATTAGTTATTATATTTTATAATAATTTAAAAAAAGTATTTACTATATTTGACGTTTGTTTATGTTTTAGTTGGAAAATCCAGAATCTACTGCAAACACCATGAAAAAATCAGTAAGTTTATTTCTGGACCAAATGTCAAGTGCATTAAACCCTTTGCCAGATGATGAAGATGAAGCATTAATGATTGTTGGCTCAGACACAGTTACACTGTCTAGGCTACAAGTAATTTATTTAATTTGTTTTTATTTAATATTATATCATCTATTCTATTTTGGAAATTTCTAGGCCCAAATATATACTCTAGCCAATGATCCAAATACATTTGTAATGGAAATTGATGACCAACTTGATAAAAGATATAAGGCTTGGTTGGATTGGGTGAAAAGCGGTGATAGTAGTTTATTATCTAATGATAAACTCACAAAGATCTTAAATGATTGCACACCATTACGTGACAACTATCAGAAACTTGTGCCAGATTCTGTTTCTCACGCTGACTTTTGGTATCGATTTTTGTTTCGAAAGGCTTTATTGGAAGACGAAGATGCCAAACAGCAGAGGCAATCCGAAAAGGAAAATCGAGAAGCTGAAAAAATAGATTTCAATAAAGGTAGGTTATCCAATCAAATAACCTCATGGTTGGTTTACATAGTATTCAATTACAATTTACAGAGTTAACTCCATTGTCTGATATAGAGCTGTCTGAAAAAGAACAAGAGGAAATATTGTCGTTGTATGACCAGGAACGAAGAGTATCATCAAAGTCCAGCAGTCCTATAGAAGGTTAGTTTTAACAGAATATTTGTAGCAAATATACTAATATTTTCCTTATAATATTTGCAGACGTAAAAAAGGATTTAAAATCAAAACATGAAGATGCTCCATCTAATGCTTCTTCAGTTACCACTTCAAGTTTGGACAAAGGTAATTTTTTTATATGACGARTGTTAGGAAGTCACTATGTTGATTATCTATCAAACGGTAAACATTTATTCAGTTTCATTTGCAAAATCACARATTGTTCCTACAAATAAATGAATAACTAATTAAAAACTAAAKAAAACTTTCTAATGCAAAGAAGTTTTCAGTGAGATTTAAAATTTAAATAATTTATTGGTGTTTTGTTTTTTGTTCAGATGAATGGGTCAAGGATTTTGATATGGAAGACATTGAACCACCTACCAGTACTAAGTGATTTGAAAATCCACAAATTGAACTTTGATAATGTTTAGATATTTAGTTTTTTCACATCTGTCTTTGTTGACTGGTGGGATATGCATCTTGATGATAATTTAATGAATATTTTTTGTCTACATATATTTCTATATATTTAATAATATTATCATATTTTTAAGTTATTTTTATTGTTAAACACATTTTTGTTTTGTGTCAAATATAAAAAAGAACACTATTAACGTTGTATAATATTGCTCGTTAATATTATTTCTTTGACCTTGTTGACAGATAAAAAGAATATTGAAGAAAAAAAATAATTACAAGAAAAAAATACAAATAGGTCATACATGGTGAATTGATAACAAATTAGGATATGGATAAACAATATCATATTAATTATTTATGAAAAAACTCAATAGATGAATGCATTTTATTTTATTTTACAAAAGGAATGGTCATAAGCGGGAGKAATAATGTGAACAATATTATAAGCATAACAATTTTGTTTTTAGAAAAACTGCTTCCCAAGTTAAAGCATACATTTTTATAGCATTAAACTATATTTTATGACTTTACRTAATGCATTTAAAATAGATAATTTTCAATATAAGTAGTGTATCTGTTCAACCAGCAAGTGATTAACTAAATAAAGATGATACCAACACTTTTTAATTATTTCTTAGTAGGTTTTTAGAAAGTAAAATTTTTAAATTTGATGCATTACCTACTAAATTGATTTTTTTATTAATAACAACATTATTCAAAGGACAAAGAGAGTAGATGATTTCCATTCTATTATGTCTTCATAAAAAATAACTGCAATACTTGAAAATGGCTTTGCCATTATTTTTATTTSTAATAGTTCAAGTAAACTTTTTATGGAAAAAAATATCATAAAAGTTACTTAGAAAGTTATACAATTTGGGAAAAACTAAAAACTGATTTTTTAATGACTGACTTATAACGTTATAACATAAGTATTTGAGCCTAAACTATAATTACCGGAGACTTGACATTTTCTTGTTACTTTTATACCAGTATAGCACCATATTTGGATGCACTAATTCTTATTTAAAGAGGCGATCATTTGTGAAGTGTAGGTATATTAATTATCTGTGCATTATATAACACCTACATATATATATTATATATATATTATTATTAAGTACATGCGCAACGCAATATTACATACAGCTGTTATGAACTGTTGCAGTAGGGCAGTCGATTCAGAAGTCAGTATGTCAGAACTATAGAAGTATACTTATTTAGTTATCTATAAGTCGACTGTCTAATAAGAAAAAAAAAAAAAAAAGTCGACTGTCTAATGTTTTAATGTTATTGTGACCCGGTTTTAGTTGAGATTTTTCGGTTTTTTAGTACCTAGATACTTAGTAATTCATTAGAAAAAATAAAACATATTTTTTTTACAAGCATTACAGTTCAAATTCTGAAAAAATTTCAAAAATGTTCTAATTATTTTTGAGTTAGAAATTCATAAAAGTTTTTCTCTACTACCTTAAACACAAAAAGAAAAATTATGAGCGTTTGTTTTTACAACTTATACGATATTAGAATTTCATTGGTAAATTAACGAATTCCTATCAGACGAATTTTTGAATATTATGTAGTTATTAAAAAACGAATAACCGTAGATACTTAACATTTTCATCAAGTACCTATTTATAAGATCATTTTGACCATCGTATAATTTTCAAATTTTGTAGATTATTTGGTATAAGTTTTTATGTCGATAACTCATACTAAAAATGTCAGCATTTTAAAATAGGTAGCGTAGCATCCTACTATCTAACGGAGTAACGATAGGTAAACTACGGCAGTACGGCCCAGGACTCAGGAGAGAGCACTTCTGGGCAGCGGCTCAAACGTGTCCGTGTCGCTCATTCCCACAACAAAACAAAACCTTCCCTGGCCGCCGTCACCGACACTGCGGAGCTAATTCATTTGGATGCGTAAGCGAGAAGTACTCTCTCCTAGGCCGTAGACCGTAGTATAGTATAGATAGTATAACTGTATACTTACTGATTTTACTCAATGGTAGCATTTTACACGATTGTGTTACAACCTAAAGACCACAATTTTAATACTTTATTTATTATCTTAAATTATGCTGAGGACTAAGCCATTAAGGTGCACAAAGGTTTTACAAACGCATAATCACTAATCAATAATATGCCTGGAGTTGTCGTTGGGATGAAGGGCAGTGTAGTGCTGTTCAAATTGTTCACATCACAAACTAAGATAGAATGAACTGGAAACAAAATCCAAATCCCCGRGCCTCGTAATGTTAGAACAGCGTTTCTTAAACTTTTTTATCCGTGGAACCTTTATTGATGTTCACTTTTATCAGTTTTATCGTGGAACCCCTACTTTTTTTGGGCGCCCGGGAATTGGGCCACATTTTAACTAYCTGTTTCATATAAAATATTTATTTACATTTTAGTATTTTACTACCCGAAGATTGGGCCACAAATTAAATCTATATTTTCAAAGTGTACCCATAAATTGGGCCATAAAAGTATAGCACACAAATAAGTATACTGTTAATATGAATATAATTATAACGTTTATTAACTAATTWTTATTTTTACAAAAAGGTTCATAAAATTAGTCAAATCTGAAATAATTTTTATATATTATGCCAATATTCAATTTACAAATATAATACAAAGTTAGTCAAAAAATAAATCTAGTAATAAAAAGTGGCCCAATTACCGGGCCTACCTGTAATAAATATAAAATTTTTGTGGCTCAATTACCGTTTACTTCTGGAAAAAAAAAGGTGAATTGTGGCCCAATTCCCGGGCGCCCCTTCTTTTTTTATAGCTTTTTAGCTTTTTTTAGGATTATTTGCAAATAAATTATAATGTTAAGTAGAAGTATAAATTTTTGAATATAGAGTTAGCTGATATAATATTCCATATGGCTTATACATTATTATTTAATATACAAGTATTATTTTCCATAATGGATATTTTAAAGTAAATTTCACACAGGTTAAAAAACGCTGTTAGAGACAAGATTAGGCTTATTCGGSAGAAATAGATAATACAAATGCGTAACTTGCGCTACTTAAATAATAATGATATATTTATCGATATAGGCAATAAGCAGTGCTAGATTCACACGTATCATCTATTTCACCTGCACAATTATTAGTACTACAAATCTATTCGAAAGCAGATAGCTCTCTGCAGTCACCCTCCCGCCTTTCGTTCACAGACTTGTAGTTCGTGATGCATGTACGGACAATTAGCCTTTGCCCTTGGTTACGCCCATAATCCAAGTCTAAATCATTTTACAATAGACCCTCAAATTGTGATTG